ATTCGACAAAACCCAACACCCTTTTTTGATAAAAACTTTCAGCAAAGTGCAAATAGAGGGAGCATATCTCAACATGATAAAGGCCATATATGACAAATCTAAGAACAGAAACAAGACAGGGATGTCCGCTGTCATCACTCTTATTCAACATAGTACTGGAAGTCCTAGCCACAGCAATCAGACAAGAAGAAGAAATAAAAGGCACAATACCAGATTTCAAGTTATACTACAAAGCCACTGTAATCAAAACAGCCTAGTACTGGCACAAGGACAGGCATATAGATCAATGGAACAGGACAGATACCCCAGAAATCGACCCAAACCATTACACTCCATTCATATATGACAAAGGAGGCAAGTGCATACAGTGGAGCAAATAAATGGTATTGGGAAAATTGGACAGATACATGCAAAAAAATGAAACTAAACCACTAATTTACACTATACACAAGAATAAACTCAAGAGAAACCAAGATGGCAGCATAGGTAAACATCGGAAATTGCTGCCTCGCACAACCACTTCAAAAATACAACTAAAAGACAAAACGGACATCATCCAGAACCACAGGAAGGCTGGCCAAGTGGAAATTCTACAACTAGAAGGAAAGAGAAAAGCACACTGAGACTCAGAGGAGGTGCGGAAGTAAAGTGCAGAGGTACGAAGGCGCACGTGGGAAAAGCTGGCAGCTGAGGACGCTGCACACATGGAAAGGGCTGGCAGCTGAGGACGCTGCACACGTGGAAAGGGCTGGCAGCTGAGGACGCTGCACACGTGGAAAGGGCTGGCAGCTGAGGACATGGTTGACTTTTTCAATCGGGAGGGAGTCTCAAGCTCCCGATTGCTCTGAACTCCAGTTCTGGGCGAGTCTCTGGGGACCCAGACTCATACGGGGAGAAACTGTACTGTCTGGCATTGGTCAGAACTCGAGGGCGGCTTTCTCTCAGAGGTGCTTGCAGCGATTACAGGGGCACTGAGACGCGGGGCCTGTTAGGGCAGGACTGAGGAGCAGCCATAGCTGTTTGCTCCACCCTGTTGATCCCCTGAAACCCCGCCCCACCCAAGCTGTGCACAGAGGCTTTTCCATATGAAAGGCCTGGCCCTTTGCAATCTGAAAATTGCCTGACAAACTGCAACTGGATCAGAGAAACCCAGAACATCCAAAAGAAGGCCCAAGGCCCCACAGCAGCTTGCATTGCTTCACAGCTGGGCTCCTGCTGGGTAGCCTCAGGCAGAGGCTAAATTAGCACCTCCTTAGAAATCCAAGAGCCAGTGTACCCAGTGGTCAGAGTGGGACCATCCAGATTACAACTCCTCAGATCCATAAGGGACACACTCAGGGGGCAGACTCAGTAAGCACCAAAGCCCCACTGAAGCAAGTCTTGCCCCAGAAGGGTGTCTCCAGAACAGAAGTTCTCCCACCATAGACACAGCTGATTCTCACAGCCAATTGGCCTGGAGGTCAATTCCTCCCAGTAATACCTACAACAATCAAGGCTTAACTACAACAAGACTGTGCACAAAGCCCACAAGGGGGTGCACGAAGAGTGTCCTCCTCAGGTAATTGGGGAGGCTGAGCCACTGGGCCCTATAGGACACCTAGCACACAAAGCCACTCTACAAACACAGGGAAGTAGCCAAAATGCGGAGACAAAGAAACAGGTCACAAACGACAGAAATGGAGGAAAGCAAATGACTGGATATAGAGTTCAAAACCACACTTTTAAGGTTTTTCAAGAACTTTCTAGAAACTGCCGATAAATTTAGTAAGACCCTCAAAAAGACTGGTAAGACCGCCGATAAATGTAGTGAGACCCTCAAGAAATCTAGTGAGACCCTCGAAGTTATGAAAAAGGACCAACTAGAAATTAAGCATACACTGACTGAAATAAAGGATATTATGCAGAGTTCCAACAGCAGACTAGAGGATCGCAAGAATCAAGTCAAAGATTTGAAATACGAAGAAGCAAAAAACACCCAACCGGAAAAGCAAAATGAAAAAAGAATCCAAAAATATGAAGATAGTGTAAGGAGCCTCTGGGACAGCTTCAAGCGTACCAACATCCGAATTATTGGGGTGCCAGAAGAAGAGAGAGAGCAAGATATTGAAAACCTATTTGAAGAAATAATGACAGAAAACTTCCCCTACCTGGTGAAAGAAATAGACTTACACAGGAAGCGCAGAGAACCCCAAACAAAAGGAATCCAAAGAGGACCACACCAAGACACATCATAATTAAAATGCCAAGAGCAAAAGACAAAGAGAGAATCTTTTTTTAAAATTGTTTTATTGCTTAAAGTATTACAAAGAGTATTACATATCAAAGAGAGAATCTTAAAAGCAGCAAGAGAAAGACAGTCAGTTACCTACAAGGGAGTACCCATACGACTGTCAGCTGATTTCTCAACAGAAACTTTACAAGCCAGAAGGGAGTGGCAAGAAATATTCAAAGTGATGAATAGCAAGAACTTACAACCAAGATTACTTTACCCAGCAAAGCTATCATTCAGAATTGAAGGACAGATAAAGAGCTTCACAGATAAGAAAAAGCTAAAGGAGTTCATCACCACCAAACCAGTATTATATGAAATGCTGAAAGGTATCCTTTAAGAAGAGGAAGAAGAAGAAAAAGGTAAAGATACAAATTATGAACAACAAATACACATCTATCAACAAGTGAATCTAAAAATCAATTGAATAAGTAATCTGACGAACATAATAAACTGGTGAATATAATAGAATCAGGGTCATAGAAAGGGAGTGGACTGACTATTCTGGGGGGGGGGTGTGGGGGTGCAGGAAGAGACTGGACAAAAATCGTACACCTATGGATGAGGACAGTTAGTGGGGGGGGTGTGAACTGGGTGGAGGGGAGCTATGGGGGGGAAAAGAGGAACAACTGTAATAATCTGAACAATAAAGATTTAATTTAAAAAAATTAAAAAAGAATAAACTCAAAATGGATAAAAGACTTAAGTCATGAAGCCATAAAAATCCTAGAAGAAACTATAGGCAGCAAAATCCCAGACATCTCTCATAGCAATATGTTTATGGATACATCTCCTAGGGCAAAGGAAACTAAGTAGAAAATAAACAAATGGCACTATGTCAAAATAAAAAGCTTCTGCACAAAAAAAGAAACCCTCAGCAAAATGAAAAGGGAGCCCGCTGTATGGGAAAACATATTTGGCAATGATACATCTGATAAAGGGTTAATATCCAAAACATATAAGGAACTCATACAACTTAACAAAAGGAAGACAAACAATTCAATTTAAAAAATGAGCAAATGACCTAAATAGACGATTCTCCAAAGTGGGCATACAGAGGCCCAAGAGACATATGAAAAAATGCTCAAAGTCACTGATCATCAGAGAGATGCAAATTAAAATGACAATGAGGTATCACATCACACCTGTCGGAATGGCTACCATCAACAAATCCACAAATGACAAGTGCTGGTGAGAATGTGGAGAAAAGGGAACCCTAGTACCCTGCTGGTGGGAATGCAGACTGATGCAGCCACTGTGGAAAACAGTATGGAGTTTCCTCAAAAAATTAAATATGAAACTGCCATTTGACTCAGTGATCCCACTTCTAGGAATATATCTTAGGAGACCTGAAACACCAATCAGAAAGAATGTATGCACCCCTATGTTCATAGCAGCGCAATTTACAATAGCTTAGATCCGGAAACAGCCCAAGTGCCCATCAGTAGATGAGTGGATAAAAAAGCTGTGGGACATTTATACCATGGAATCCTATGCAGCAGTAAAAAAGAAGAATCTCTTATCCTTTGAGGCAGCATGGAGGGACCTAGAGTATTATGCTAAGTGAAATAAGCCAGTCAGAGAAAGACAAGTATCACATGATTTCACACATATGCGGCATCCAAGTAACAAAATAAACTGATGAATAGAGTGGGTCCAGAGACATGGAAGCATGGAACAGCGTGCGCAATCTTGGAGGAAAGGCAGGGGAGAGTGGGTGGATGGGAGGTAATCAACCAAAGACCCTGTATGCATATGCATGGGCACAGACAATAGGGTGGTGAAGGCAGGCCTGGGGCGGGGGATGCGGGTGAGCTGGAGGGGGTCAAAGAGGGGGAAAAAACGGAGACGTGTGTAATACTTTCAACAATAAAGAATTATTTTAAAAAATAAGGAAATAAAAAGAAAAAATAAATAAATTTAAATTAAATTAATTTTAAAATTTAGGTCCTTTGTTGCACTAGCTGCATTTCAAGTTCTCAATAGCCACATGTGACTAGTGGCTATTGTACTGGACAGCGCAAATATAAAACTATGCCATCATCACAGAAAATTCCACTGGATGGCACTGGTCTAAATAGTAAAATATTATAAACAGCTGTCACAAGGATAATTCATAGCATAGGAAACTACACACGCTAAACATGGATATCAATAGTATTAACACAAGGTTAATGAATCAATGATGCCTTGATGGTGTTTCTTGGGTGCTTGTGTTTTCTTTTTTTAAAATATATTTTTATTGATTTCAGAGAGGAAGAAAGAAACTTCAATGATGAGAATCATTGATCATCTGCCTCCTGCACGCCCCCTACTCGGGATGGAGCTCACAACCGGGGCATGTGCCCTTGACTGGAATTGAACCCGGGATCCTTCAGTCCACAGACCAACGCTCTATCCACTGAGCAAACCGGCCAGGGCGCCTGTGTTTTCTAAGCAGCTGGAAAAAAATCTCGTATTTGACTCCAGGCTGGATACGGAAATAGTTAAAAGCCCCCGATTCACTACTTCAAAGAGTTGTGAACATTACAAGAGAGAATACATGTAGAGCACAAGCTTAACACATAGTATTTGCTCAAGTTACTGCTACTATATTATCAATATAATTTTATCTAAGTAAACAAACAGCTAGGCCGTCCCCAACGAAGTCTGCGAACAGCGCTGGGGCGCCTTACCCCGGACAGGGCCACGTTCACCCCCACGCCACCCCCAGGCTCCCGCGCTTCCTCACCGCGGAGGCACCCGGGGAGGCTGCCGGCCCTGAGGCCCCCGCTGCAGAGCTCCTCGGCGTCCACAAACACCGGCTCGTCCTCCTCCTCCACCAGGCAGTCATCGTCCTCCTCCTCCAGGCAGTCCTCGTTCCCCTCCACCAGGGCCTTGGACGGGAGCAGCTGTCCCTGCAGTTCGCGCAATTGCTGATTCCTAGAGGCCATAACTCAACTCTCCGAAACTCAACCCAACCCGGGAAAACCCGGCCTGGGCACCCGGCCTTCATCAGCCAATCAGGCCCGCGGCTGCAAGACCGTCAACTTCCGGGAACGCCAGTGCGAGCGCGGAGGGGCGGGGCTGCCACGAAGCTCCGCCCCCAAGCCGCGGCCTGGGCGGTGTGCACGGGTGGGGGGCGGAGGGAGTCAGTGCCTGGACGGAACCAGGGGTTTGGACGAAATCGAAATCAGCCCGCTGGGCAGCGGCATGTGTGGCACCTGCTGGGCCGCTGGGCCACGACAGCTCCTTCGGAGACTGAATCACGGGGGAAGGCCACGTCTAGTGAGCCTAGAGAGCCCGGAAAAGCAAGCCCTCCCCACCACCCCAAAACGAAAATCCAGATGCCCTTCAGGAGCACGGAACAGGGAATCTCCCATCTGAGACTAGTGACTGTTTGGGGCCTCTGTTTCCTTAAAGAGTTGGATTTCTATCATCAAAAGCAGTTATGCAAGGTGCAGATCTCTAGTCCCCATTCCACCCATTGAGTCTGGATCTAGGGCAGGGGCCCAGGGTTCTGTCTTTTAAGGCAAGTTAAGGTTCTTTATTTTGATGCTCTGCCAGGTCTGCCAACCACTGTACTGTATTAGGTAACATTCGAAGTCCTTTTCATCTTTTTCTTGGTGAGTACACCCTGGTCTCCCAAATTTCTTTAAGCAGAAAGAAATTTTTGCTCCCCTGCTCACAGGGGAGCAAAAAATAAAAAAAAAAAGCATCTACTCAGCCCAGAGTATAGACCGGGATGGGGGGAACAAAGTAGAAGAGAAAGGACAGTGTTTTTAAAAATTGTTCTGGTGCCATGATTCTCATACTTAATGGGGCTACTATTTGAAAATCATGGTGCTCTTTAAGGGTAAAAAATATCATTACATTACTATGTGGGTACTACTTATTATGAAAGTACTTTATTAATAATATACCTAAAATAACGCTGCATACACTGTTTGCTTGCTAAGTCCAAAAGCATCTTATGCTAGATTCTAATATAAACAACAGCCAGCACCAAAGGTTTGAGAAAAATACTAAAATTGATTTTTCTCCCTTTGGGTACAAATGTCCACTTTTGTGGCTTTCAGAAGAAAAATTCTCTGCTGCAACTGACAAAACACCAGTGTATCCAAGATTCATCTAAAGGAGGTTGACTTCCTTCCTTAACACTCTCAGGCTACTGTTTCCACCACAGCATTGAATCTGCTGTGTCAAAAGTCACACTGCTGGTCTCTTTGTTGCTAAATCCAATGGATACCGTTTAGCCTTGTCTTACTTCACCTCTCAACAGTATTTGGCACTGAAAACTGTTTTCTTCTTGGGACACTCAGCTTCCTGGGCTTTAACAATTTGTCTTCTCGGGTCTTCCTTCTGCCCCTCTGGCCATATGTACTTTATTGGGCTCCTCTACTGGCCTCTTAAGTACTGCCGTTCCCCAGGGTTCCATCTTAAGCACCTTCTCCCTCTAATCCTCCCTTCAATCATCTTTCACCTACTCTGTCACCTACATGCTAATGACCTGTCAAAATGTATGAGACCTTCAACCTAGACAAGAGTCGGGAGGAGGGCCTGTGGCAGGAGCTCTGACACCACACGTCAGTCACTAAAGCCCTGCAGGAAAAACTGTTCACAACAGAGCTCTGTGGGTGCAACAGCCCCTCCCCTCAACTTGCTCTTCCCCTCAGTAAAAGGAGGCTTCCTGCTGCTTCTTGATCTTCTTGCTTCTCTCTCACCATGTCTGCACACACTGGATTGCAAACCTTTTCTTTCTTCTCCTGAATTAATCCTTTTTGTGACAGAATACCTGGCTTTGTTTACAGCAAACACTCCTAATCTGAGCTCCAAACCTGTGCAAACTACTGCCCATTAGATGCCATATTGGATGCTCCTGGGCTACTTGAGGTTCAAAACATCCAAACTGAGAGTTGTTCACTGCTCAAATCTGGATCACTTATGTGTATAGACATAGGGTAGCCTTGTTACCAACATGATGATTTGGGGACACGACTCCAGAAATTCAACTTCCATTCATATAACTCAATTACATTCGACTAGATACAGTAGATGACGATTCAGGATGATAACCTTGCTTCTTTACCTGTTGTTTCCTCATTTTCCCCCTCCCTCTTTTAAAAAAAATTTTTTTTATTGATTTCAGAGAGAGGAAAGGAGAGGGAGAGAGGGATAGAAACACCAATGATGAGAGAGAATCATTGATTGGCTGCCCCCTGCACTCCCACCACTGGGGATTGAGCCTGCAACCCAGGCATGTTTCCTGATTGGGAATTGAACTGTGACCTCCTGGTTCATGGGTCCATGCTCAACCACTGAGCCACACCAGCTGGGTGCCATCCCTCTTTAAAAATATATTTTTATTGATTTTTAGAGAGGAAGGGAGAGGGAAAGAGAAAGAGAAACATCTATGTGAGAGCAAACATGGATCAGCCCCCCACCAGGAATCGACTGCCACCTGTGCACGTGGCCAACCAGAACCTAACTAGCAACCTTTTAGAGCATGGGACAATGCTCAGCCAATTGAGCCACACCAGCCAGGGCCCCATCCCTTATTTTTTAAGAAAATGTTAACAGTTCTGGCTACTATTTGAAAATCATGCAGCTACTATTTGAATGGGTTCCTGGATACCATTTTTCCCATACACAGTAAGCAACAGTACTCAAACCTGGCTGTGCATGAAATCACTTGGGATGTTTCTAAAAATTAGATTCTTGCATCTACCCTGAAGCTACGTTTCCACAAACACCAAACAACATAGACATAAGTTTATTCACTATGTGATTTTGGTGGTGGCAAATGATTGGAAACAGCAGAAATGTGCACCAATAAGAGACTTGTTGATAAACTAGAGTACATCTACACAGTGGAGTATTCTTCAGCAATTTAAGAAGAGGAAGAAGGAGGAAGATCTCTATGATCTCTATGATAGGGAGTGTTTTCCAAAACATGTTAAACAAGAAAGAGCAGGGCATAAACAATGCATGTAGTTTTATTTATGTGTGTGTTATTTTTGTGGTGGGGGGGGGGGGGAAGAAATACAGGAATGATACACCAGAAATTAATGAAAATAGTTACCTACAGATAGGATGGAAACAGGGTAAAGAGATAGGGATGGCCCAAAATCTCTGATTTAACCTTTTGTAATGGTTTTGACTACTGAACCATGTAAATGTCTTACATATTCAAAAATAAAGAAACAGAAAGTAAAACCTAAAATGGAACACAAATAGAAATAAATGAAACTGTCTATCAAATGTATAACATAACCTCTCAGGGAAAATAATTACTTCAAGTTACTTTTGAATACTTTGAATAAATATTTTAACTTACTCTGACTATATACTAGTAGATGATATTCTGAGGTCAAAAGATCTACAAAGAAATCTTAAACTCACCACACAGTATGGTTAATGTTAGTTGTAATATTCTTACAGTAACTTTGAAATTATGTACTATAGGATAAAGCAAAAAGAAAACGTATCCATGTTTTATCAAGTGATGGTTTTAATGTACATGGAAAAGAAATACAAACCTAAAATAAAAGAAGTTAAGAAAAACTCCTACAATATTAAACTTGAATTGGAAATATCAATATGAGCTTGTGATTTCTTAAATTATATTTTCTAGCTCTGTTTACTGAAAGGGCCAAAAGCAGTGTCACCCTACTAACTTTGACCACGTCTACCAATGTTATCTTGGTTTGGGAATACCATCTATAAATATAAAAGCCTAAATGACCGAACGACCGAATGACTGGTCTACCAGTTGCTATGACAAGCACTGACCACCGGGGGGGGGGGGGGCAAATGCTCAATGCAAGAGCTGCCCCCTGGTGGTCAGTGCACTCCCACCGTGGGAGCGCCACTCAGCAGGCCTACGGGCGCCAGACGCAGGGCTCACGGCTGCTGGCGTGAGCCTCTCCTGATCAGGACTGACTGGGCATGTGCCCGCAGCAGGAGCAGTGGGGCTGGGATGAGTGGGAGCAGCAGGCAGGAGCAGCAGGTGGTGTTGAACTACTGATTTTGGCCTGATTGCTGCAGCCACGCCGGGGGACTCCACCGGTACACGAATCCGTGTACCGGGCCTCTAGTATCTTACTAAAAGCAATGGAGGCTTCTTAAGAAATGGCTGATTCAACTTCTGGGACAGGGCAAGTACAAGGTGGACCTGGGACTTTTTTGTAGCAAAAGGCAAGGAAACACTAAAAAATTAATGGAGTTATGATAAAAGGATTTGGGAGTCCCAGTAAGCAAATTTAGGGAGTTTTGAGTATCAGAAAGAATTACTGTGCTTGATTGTAACACACTGAGTAAATAAAAATTTGATGTGTCCATTGTGATACTAAAAAAATTTTTTTAAGGAAGAAAAGAAAAGAAAGAAAAGAATGCCAGTTAAATTAAAAACATTTTTTAATATTAAGCATCATTTTGCAATCCCTAGTGAGATAACTGATTCAAGCAATGATCCCCAAAGTATGTGTGCCGGAGTCCATTCATTGTCTTCACTAGCTAAGTTTAACCAGGTTACCCAAGCTCAGAGGGCTCCAGATAACTTGTCAACTCAGTGCTCTGGAGACCCAAAACTGTAACTTAGATAAAGTGCCTAAGTTAACCTAGGTTCCTCATTCCAAACCTTGAGTTTAAAATTAAGTTGTCATGACCTAGAGCAAAGAATATTCTTACATGGTATTATTCTACAAAGTTTTATTACAACAGTATATTGTGCATTTATCCCAAACAAATTTACAAATGAATTTGAATGTTTTAAGAAAGGATTTATTCCCCCCTGGGAAGGCACTTAAGCATTCTGTATTGACCTGTCTTGACCTCTTTTTTGCCAAAAGGATTCCAATTGTCTACAGCTGTTATCTGAGCTCTCCGTTCAAACTGAGATCATGAAAAGCTGGTACCATAGATCTGTCTCTGGCCCAATGGCGTAAGCTGGGCCCTCTCTGGAGAAGAAACCTGGGTTCCCTATGATCAATTCCGGGGCCCCGCCAGCA